GTGACTAGGGCTGGGTATCTTTCAAAATGTTTTGATATTGATACTGTTACCGATACCTTGACTTCGATATCGGTTCCTGAACGATACTTTTTTGATACCAATTTTATGAAATCAATTTTAACAAGATGACATTACCTCAGAAAACTTTGGTTTTATTTTTTTTCAGCTTGTTGACATTTTTACAGACTCAAAGACCCATCTCCTGAGCCACTGCACAAATGAACAAAAAAAAGCACAAAGGAACAAAATGTAACTAACACAATCAGTGCAAATAGTTTTCAGTTTCCACATCTTTTAGGTGGCGCTGTCTGCCTGTGTTTTCTCTTCCGTGATCGCTGCTCTGACTCAGTGGAAGCTCTGCTGCTCATATGTCAATCATATTATGCATTCATAACCCACCCTGTCTCCTATGACAAACGTCCATTACACGTCCACATTCAGTTCTGTAAGAAGAAACCCAGAAAACATTTCTATGAATGAAACATGAAGCTAATAAACACACAATTATGACAGTATATGATTTGTACCTGATTTTCATGAGATTCTATTTTCATAACAATACAGGGTGTTTACATGAGAAATGTTAAACAGGTAGTGATTAGCTTAATATAAAAGGTTACAAATACCATATTTAATAAATACCATTTTCATATAACAAGTGTTTGTAAATCGTTACTTCACACCCCTGCTGGTAATGTTACAACTTCTCATACATATTTTTGAAACGGTCCTGTTCACACATCACAGCTCTTAATGGTAATTTGCCAGTAAAGTCTGTATGTGTCTGTATGTGTGGGAAATGTGTTTTTTTTTTTTGTACAGGTGTTGTGCCGAATTTCCTCTTTGTTGAGTTTCTGTTGACTGACCTCAACTTTTTTTTTTTATTGTATATTACCAGATTCTGCAAACACATACAAAAACACACAAACGGATAAAAAGCTGAAGACTGGCTGTCTAAAAATATGCACATAACATCTACTCAAAATTCACTGAAAACAGAAATGGATCAAATGAAATTGAAATCAAAGATCAGACATAAAACAGACATTAGGCAAGAATTGTAATTAACAGAACAAATATGGACAATAAATACGACGAATTTAAACAAGTACTGAAGTCAGTAAAAAGTTATTTCTCCACTTTATTTATTTCACATGTTTTTGAGTGAGGAAGAAGGGAATGTATTTAGTTGGTACAGTAAGTTTCTGCAGGTGTGTGTGCGTGCGTGTGTACAGGTTTTACTGACATTTTGGGGTTCAAATGTCCCCACAGTGATAGTAGAACCTAAAAACAGCCTCACTGTGGGGCAGTCAAAGGTCCTCAGAAGGAAAAAAGATTAATAAACACACTAAATAGTGTTTTAATTAATATGTAGAAATGCAAAAAGATTTCTGTGAGGGGTAGGGGACAGAAATGACCATATGCTCAGCATTCAAACAATAGAAGACAGTGTAGTGCAGATGTAGACATGAATGTCATGCAGTGGAAAGATGGGGAGAGTCACAGTCAGACAGACAGTAGCTAAACTACAAGTTTTGTCAGTAACTTCACGTCCTCTTCCAGGAAGATTTAATTTTCTGTTGATTGGAAATTCTTAATTATTGCCCTGACGGTGGAAATGGGGAATTTTTTCAGGAAGCCACGGCTGGAAAAATTTCATGTTTGTTCTCACCCTGGTGTGCTAAAAATGTAAAGGTTAGTTTTTTCAATGCAGATTTATATTCACAGCCTTCTTTGATCATTTTTAGGGTGCCAACAATTCTGACCACAACTGTATATATACATCTACATGTCACTTTGCTCACTGGTCCAGTTTGGTGTTGCAATATCTTACCCAGAATAAACCCTATATTGGATGAATGGATGGAAAACTGGACAGATGAGCAGTTTAGTGTAAATTACCAAAGTGATAAACATCACTAAAAACAATCCACCTTCTTGAGCCTGATAAAGAGTTTGATGAAACTAAACTCAAACTTACCTGGATAGCCGCTGAAACCAGCTTGGTGAAATAGGCCATTACACTGTTGTAACTCTATGTACTGAGGCATCTGCCAGGAATAACCTATTAGTATTACCCTTCTTACACTCAGAAGCCACTTCATTAGTATGGAGGAGGGGGAAAACAGAATTATAAATATGTATACTGCACAAAAAATAAGATTGTAGTCAAACATATATTTACTTACTAATGTATTCATTAAAATTCTAATAATAATTTATTACATTAATTTCCTGATCTGCAGTTTAGTTCTAGCCCTGATTGAACACCAGCGTGCAATATTCTAGTAATCCAGCGACCACCCATGAGCATAACTGAAGAACTCATTTTAGAATCCCTACATTTTCAGAAAAAAAAAAAAACCCAGGACACATTATATGATCTATTATGGCACGGCTGTGCACACATTCTGAACCAATATTTTGAAAATGACACTGTCATGTATCTTGAAGTCTTTAGTGACAAAGACACTCGTAATCAGTCCAGTCTATACACTTTGAAACGCTGTACATTTCTCTAAATGACTTGCGATGACTAACCACATCACCTCAATACTTCACTTTTAATATCAATATTCAAACGAAATTCATTGTCAGTTTTATTCACTGGTAAAATCCTTAGATCCCACCGCTACAAGCACCCAAAAAATGAAACCATAAATATATGCTTAAAAACAGTTCAATATTTACTGCAAAATATTTTTTACAGAGTAAAACTAAATAAATACAGGAAATGGACAGTAAGGCCAACAGCAGAACTCCACATAATGAACTGTATAAACATTTTGTAACTTAGACTTTCCTTGAAGTAAAACTCATCCTTGAAGCAAACCATTTCTGTAGTTCATTATTGTTTTTGTCCTCGCCTGCTGACAACTCACATATATTTTTATTACTTTTGAATTATGATTATGTACAGCACAAACAATATTGTCAAAACAAATGAACAGTTCTAGATGAACTCTAGATACTCTACATGGAATTCTGCGATTGAATTCTGAATTTCACTGGCTCCACTTCTCCAATAGTGAAGTCAAGTTAACTCTGAAACTATTGGAGAAATGGAGCCAGTTTTGATTGGAAAGCCAGCGGGAACCTCAGAATGAATGATGCACGATGGCTTCGTTTACAAGATCTTTTGCCATATACATCATATCGCAAACTTCAGGATACTCTGTATATTAAACAGGAATAATGTATGAAACAGCAAATGCTTGAGTAGAACTCGTGGCTTCTGGGCAGTTGTTGTATTTGTGAGCTGTTAGCAGATAAGCTTAATTAAACTAGATAACGCACGGTCTTTCTATTCTAAGAAGTCACGGATGACTTTCATGTTAAACCACTGTTCTCTTAATTGAAAAAGCAAAAGAACTACACGTTCAACAAATTATAAAACGTCCAGCCCTGTAACGAGGGCCGATAAGTTAAATCAACACATTACAAAGGCTTGATACGGACATGATGCTCTCGGACGCATGTGTGCTCTCTTACACACGCTGACAAAATTTGGCACTAATACCGCCATCGCATTTCTCACGAACTGCAAAGCTCTGCAGCGGCTGGCGTACAGCGAGACATTCACATCGACATGTTTGTGTTGGCTATCCCAAAAGAGGGAGCTATGAAAAAGCCCATCACAGAATGACACGTACAATAAAATAGAATAAACTCCATAAATGCACACAGTGTAAAGCCCTTCTGGAACAAAAACACTTCATGGACAATTAGACTCTAGGAGGGAATATGAACTGATGCTGAAGTACTTACAGGCCTAATTCATGTTGGGGAACGTTTGAAATATTTCAACTAACATTGGTAAACTACACTTTCTGACCACTTTCACACCCAACTGCCTCGCTAACACATTTTTTACTGTACATCCTAATAGAAGGTAAATTACAATCACCATCGCAGAAATAGTTCTCTCAAAAACGACACCATTTGAACTGATGTATGGAAAAGTGTTACAGTATATGGTGACTCTTCCAAAAATTCTACGTTGTGTTCCACACAAAAAACAAAAACTAAACTCACACGGGTTTTGAATGACATGGGGGTGAGAAAATACTGACAGCAGTGATGAAGTCTTTTCTTGAAGTCGTTTTTGACAATTCTAGAGGTTGTCCAATCACCTACAGCCTTGAAGAGTTCCCAACTCATTGTCACTGTTAAAACAAGTGATGTTCAATCCCAGAATACATTTAGGCAAAGCATTACTGTGGGAGATATGAGGCTAATAAACACTTTATATAATGTCATGCAATGCCAGTGGATAAGGTTGCACGTTTTGTAAAGTTTGTAAAGTTTACGGTGGGTTACTGACTTGCATGAACCTGAGAAAACTAAAGAACTCCTAGGATTAGGAAGCATTCGGCACCAATGCTGACACAAATCAATCTACTATTGTGCTATTAAGGGTCTTTCAGTCGGACCCTCAGACACAGAGCCATTATCACACATGAGCACTTATAACACTACAAATGGTATTCGTGACCATATATATATGACGTAGATAATATGCTCACCAGCATGCATTATGTATATCTCTTGCTTGTGTAAGTTCTAGATCTGTGAGTGGACCGGTACAGGCATCTGATAAAAGAAACGCCATTCTCTGGGACGCTGGGACTGCACTTTAATGTACATCAGACTCGGCTCAGAATGAAGTTAGTGTTTGAAGAGTTGATTGAAGCAGCAGCGGGCGCTGGATCACCGTGTTCGGTGGGATCTCATGGAAACCAGGTCATATTTCACCCCAAAATCACATGAACAAAAAGAATGAATTACATTTGACACGTTTTTATATTCATTATATTCACTGTAAAAATACTGTAAAAACGTTTCTATTGGCATAAATTAAAGCTAGAGTAAAACCAATGCTGAACTACCATGATGCATACACACTTAATATTTTGAGCATTACAGTAAAGAGAATTGAAGGTGAAAATGTCACAAAATAAAATCATTGTATGCACCGCTAAATATCTCAATATCTTCTTTTTTTTTTACACAACATGATTTCTCCCTTTGGATTTTAGTGTAAAATATGGCCCAGGTCCCGACGGGTTTCGTGAGATGCTTTCTGCGCGGGGCTGATGTGACAGCTCACGCTGCATGCTGGGTTTGTGTTAGGGTTCTCTATAATCTAGCTCTTCAGCAGCATGAAGCATATCTTCTGATGTCTGATAGACTCCTCTTCACTCGGTAATACTGTAGATGCAGATCCAAAACCAGGTCCTAAATGGCTGAAAACCCTGCTGATGTTCAACGCGATGCACACGCAGACAAGCAAAACCAAAGGCAGGCATTGGTTGGCCATCTAGTGCCCGCTCACATCCTCCGGTCCGGCACGAAAGGGCGGCGCGCTCCTGCTTTATGGCTAAATGATGAGGCTCAGGATAGGACAGACTATGAAGCACAAACAGCCAACCGTCTTCCCCTCAGAGCCACGCGGTTCAGACGAACAGCTGGATCCTCTCGCGGATGGTCTGCCGGCAGATGGGGCAGGTCTTGAGCGCGGCGCTGCAGTCGATGCAGGAGGCGTGGCCGCACTGGAACACCAGCTTGATGTGGTTGTCGATGCAGATGGGGCAGGTGATGCGCTCCTCCATCTGTCTGTAGCGCGACTGCAGCTGCTCCAGCAGGTTGTGCTGCTCCGAGTTCTCCGAGCTGGGGCTGCACTCCACCTCCGTCTGGTCTGCTTTCAAGAAACGGACATGCTCAATTCCAAGCACAACGTACCACAATTAGCCAAAGAACGAACTAAAACTAAAATAGCAATAATTACAACAACGTAATAGAGAACGGGAACACAATTCCTTTCAGTGGCTGCTTCCATCTTTAATTACTGGTACCTGTGTCATAACAGTATTTAGTTCCCTTAATTTTTACTGAAGCGAAAGAGCAAAGTTTCACAGTAAACGTTCAGAATTACACCACAATTCATTCACAGTCCGCGGGGACACAAAAGTGCAGCTACGACCAGGGAGAACACAATTTCTCTCCAAATCAGTCGCCCATAAAGGCCTGTTCAAAGGAAAGTTCATGCTTCTTGATGTGCTGTTGATTAGAAAGACTAACTTTTGCACCGTAATGATGATAAACAGCCTGCTGTGCACAAACATAATCATCCCATCATCTATTTTACAGAAAACCATTCTGAAGGGAAAAGCTAAGCAGGCTTCATGTACTGGAAGGCCACATATTTCTACTTTGTCTCTTTATTTATTTTTTCCCTTTCTAGCTTGTACTTATTTGAACAATGCCTAAAACTTGGTGTTACAAGCCCTTCCTGTGTCTGTTTGCCTCTTTAAGAAGAATCGCTTTATGTATTCCCCAATTGTAAGTCGCTTTGGATAAAAGCGTCTGCAAAATGACTAAATGTAAATGTAAGGCCAAATGTATTTAGCATCTTATCGATGTCTGAAGACAGACGGATGAGTCTAGAATCTAGAGCCCAGGTTTTATTTAAGCTGTTTCCTTAACAGGTTTCTATGGAGTATGAGACTTCGTTCTTCTGTTTTTATTACAACTAATGTTTGAGAGAAATTTGGTAATTCAAGTAGAATGTCACCAAATTAGATCAATTGAAAGCTGAGCGTATGCTGACCGCAACACTGTGTGCTCATTTTAAAATGGGCATTATTGACCGTTATTAACTTTATTCTGTACTAAAGTGTTTATCATTTGGAAAGCAGGCCATGGAGCAACAATACTGTTTCTTCTCAGAATGAACCAACATGAAAAAGCATAAAATATTATCGTAATTCAAATGTAAAAATGCTTACCTTGCCGAATTTTCTTTGTTATTGTCACCTGGCACCGGATACATTTCTTCATTCTGTGAGCACATTCTGAATAGATACAACACAGGACAGTTTCTGTAGACCAACTATATAGGCAAGTAAAACTTCTATAATTCATGGCCAACTTAACTACCACATTTTGATGCGTTTCTGAGCAAACCTATATATTCATCCAACAACAGCAGGTCTGGACTTGAGTTTAGTAAGCTCACCCTCGCAGGCGACGCTGTGTTGACATGGAGAGAACAGCACCAGCAGTGCGAGCTCGGAGCAGATGAGGCACTCGCTGGGGCCCGTCGCGCTGGGCATGACCAGGTTGGTCATGGTGTTGGGTGTAGTGTGCACTCGCCTGAGACTGCTGCTGCTCGTGCCTGTGCCACACGTGACGGCTTGAAGCCTGAACACACACACACAACATGTCAAGATCACATCTGATCAGATCCCGCAATCAGTGAGCAGCACAATCAACACGCCGAGACACACCTGTGCTTTTCTGCGAAGCTCCTGATGAGAGTTTGTACGCTGCTGTCTGTAACCAGGTCCAGTGGGCTTTTACCTTTATGGTTGGCATAACTGATATCGGCCCCTTCCTGTGCCAAGAAGCAAGCGATAGCAGCTCCTACGTTCAGCTCCGTGTTTCCCATCAGCCCTGAGCTACACAACTACACGCAAAGAAGGAAGCAATAAACACCACTGATTATAATACTAGATGCTTCTCCGGTGCGCACGGCTTCTGTTATTTCAGCACAGTATGTGAATTTTTACATGGAACACATGGAATACCTGGATGACGTACTACGTTTACCAAACTGTGTAGCATTCAGCAGAGCACACTTTCCTGGAATACTGTGTCCCACATTTCAAGAAAGACAAACGCACCGGAAGCGAATGCAACTGTCTTCTATTTATGAATCATTAACATTTGATTCGGGGTGTTCTATTGACAAAAAAAAAAGATATCTCGAAATTTTCTGGGATTTTATCGATAACAATAATTAGACAATATTTTTGCTATAGTTTGTTATTGTGCTGGTACCGTAAGGACTACCGCGGACAGCTGACTGCTAAAGCTATTTTAGGGAAAAAAGGACTATACTGTCAAATAATAAAGAAAATAAGAACAAAATCTATGCAACAGCACAAATAAATACAATAGAGCAAAGATAAATAAAATAAACAGTGCTTTTCAGGTTTTTAGGTAGGTCTAACAGTTTTTAAGTACAGAAATTGAATAAAGTAATCAAAAGTAAAATAGCATTGCATATTTGACTGTATAAACGGAAGATTAATCCTTATTAAAGGTACAAAAGTTATTCAGTCAAGAGCAGTGAGTGATTTCCTTGTCTTTTGTTGTTTGATTAACATTAAAATCACAGACAGCAGGAATATAGCCGGCTGTCACGGATCCAGTACACTGATACAGTACGTTCACTGTGTCTGCTAGGAAACTCAGCAAGACGGGCATGTTATCATTTGTGTGTGAATTTGTCCATTCAAGCACAAGTCTTGAAAGAGAGCTCAGTATTTGTGCGCTGTCTAAGACGCGGGTTCTTCTCATTCACGTCTTCTGGCTCTTGAATGTTGAAACTGGCGAGGCTTAAATGCGTTTAGTTTCAACACAGATAGCAGCATGTTTACAGCAAGCATAACTTTACTAACAGTGACTGCTTTGTCCACGTTTCTTTTGTTCATCGCTGTTGTTGTAATGTCTTGGGAAGCCAGAATGCGTATCCATCCACAGAAACATGCATTAGCCCAACTCTGTCTGTTTTACGTGTTGTTGTTATTTTGAACAAACCATATCGTTGAACCGTGGGTGGAGAACGGTACGGTTCGATTTTATACCGAGAACCGTTACACTCCTAGTGTGGTGGTCAGTTCACAGCAGTGACAGAAATTAATCGGTTTTAATAAGTTTAAATTAATTTTGACCTTTTATGGGCATTTTTACCTTTAAAAAGCAATTTTTTCTAAAAGTGTGCATCATTATTTGAGTCAGATTCTTACATTTAATCAGTCAATGAGAATAAGAAGATATTTGGGCTGTTACCAAGCAAATTAAATCAGTATCAACAAAATTAATCTTTGCAGTGCAGGGAAACACAGCATTTAGATGAATTTAAACACAGTTTAATGCAGCTCAGAGGCTTTAACCTGCAGTTACAAATGCATAAATAATGTTTTGATATTTTAAACATAAAGCGTTGAATACTTATATTTGAAATGATTAAAAACATGAAAAGATACTTTAAATGTGAAATTAAAACCGCTAGTAGGTGGCAGCAAGTCACTGTTAATAAGTGAGTCACTGTGATGAACCGAATCATATAAACGGTGATTCATTCAGGAAACAGGTAAAAACAGGCAATATAGTGTCTAAAACGTAAGTCTCTTAATATTAACTTCCTGGTATTGAACTGCTGTATTAAAATCAATATCACATTTGTAATCATGCTGATTTTTGAAGAAAAAAAAAAGGCATTCTTCATGTGATATTAACTATATGAAATGATATAAATGTATAGATTTCCTGCACCTATATCTTGAATTTTGTGATCATTCTAAATGCATTTTAAAAGACTGAATCATGCAGTGAAAGAACACACTGTAAATGCGCACGCGCACTAGTTTAACCTACTAGACTTCATCACGTAATGTATGCGTTTGGGTTTTGCTATTTACTCGATAATGTCAGATTGCACATTGTTAAAAAGACAATTATGATATTATCGTAGATTATATATATCACACACCCCTAATTTGATCAGAATCACACTGTGGAAAGCTAAAATATCTACCTATGGGAAGGGCATTCGTACCTGACCTCTGCACAAGCATCCAATGCCAGGAAAGGGTCCATCACTTATCTGACCACATAAAAGGACCTGCACAAGCTACCTTTTCAGTCAGCATGCTCGCTTCTCGTGTAGCAAGTGGGGCAATCTTGGTGGATCTCTCCACTCTGTTTTAGAGAACTGTGTTACAAACAGTAACCTATTGTTGTGTATTGCTTTTATCATCTCGTGTTCGACATACATTCACAGAGAGACCCTGAAAGCCAGGGCTCAGTCACCTGCAAAGGCAATGCATAACACATCCCAAAGGTGCTCTATGGGTGGAGATACAGTATCAATGGCATGTAGTAATACCTTTACATCATTAAACCTGGCAACCCACACAGTAATGAAACTGGTGCCAGGCAAGCCCAGGTTTGGGGAGGAGTAGAGTACAGAATGAGCTAACAGAGTCCTGGTAATATCAAGCCAGTAGTATCTGACAAACCCAACTTGCAATTTCCTGCAATGAAACTCCTCTAAACAGAGCCCAAGAAGCAGCCATGCCCCTAGTGGAGTGTGCTCTAAAGGGTCCCTGGGGGCTTGGACTCGCTTAGATTTAAATGCCAATGAGAGAGGCATTGCCAACAAATCAAGAGCTATCCATGCATGCACAGTACACGGAGCATTCAACCTCTGATCCTGTGCAGAGTATAAAAGGGATGGGTGAAAAGACGAAAGCTTGAAGACCTCACATGTGCACACTGGGAAGCATTTAGGCATAAAGGCCAGGCTGGGCCTAAGAAAAATCATATCTCCGCTGAGAGAGAATTTAGTGCACAAGGAATGAACAGAGAGACGTGTTTTGGCTGAAGCCGTGGCCAGAAGCAAGGCTGTCTCAAAAGACAGAAGCTTAAGGAAATATTCCAGCAGGGGCTCAAAATGCCGTTGAGACAAAGCCTCCAGCAAACTGAAACTGAGGCTCACTTACCAACAGAGAGCCTGTTTCTTGAATGGGAGTAATTTATTCAATTCAATAGACCTATTTAAAACATTGTTTCATTTGTACCTTTGTTTTATTGTATTCATCTATCATATTGCTTGTCATTTGTTTCTTTGGACTTATTACTGACTGTTTACTTTCTTCAAACAAACCCATGTCGAAACCTTTTTTTTTTCTTTTACTATTTGTTTAGATCAGGGGCACTGCTAGCAATTTTGGGCCCAATGAAAGAAACATAGTTATCCAAAATCTTTGTCTGCAATTTAATAATACTAACCTATTATTTTTGCTATTGCTTTTGATCACCAGGTATCAGTATTTAGTCAGAGACCTACCCATAGCCGCGGGAACATATTTTATCTGGGGGTACTGCGGGGTGGGGCTTGATGTTGAAGGGCGGGGCCACGGTGGGGGATTTTAAACAAAATCCTAATATTAAACAGCCCAAACACTTATAGATGAACATACAAATTAATGAAGGCAGAGTTATATGAGAACGAATATATATTTGTGCTTTTGTGATTTTAGCTCAATAATATTTTTTTTTCTTTAATATTTTTATTATTTTAAGGGGATTTTACTAAATATTAAACGTTACTTGTATCAGGTTATTCATTGATATATTTTCAGACATGATTAAAGACTGCCATTTATTAAAAGTTGAAATTTAAATGTTGATTTGAAGTGTCAGTTATTATTATTGTAGTCAAATCTAGACAGAGAAAGCATTTTGTTAGGCTACTCATACTAGCTACAGCGTGATCAGTCACACTAAAGTCATCAGAATAAATATTGGCTCAGTGTGACCAGGGCAATATTTACCATGAACAGAGACGTTCTGTGGTCGAGATGTGCATCCTATTCGAAAAAATCTGCATCGCAATCAGCAACTGGTAAATTGAGATTCCAAATAGCTTTACTGGCATGATAAAAAAGGCTTTACAGGCTTTACAAAGCGCTTCGAACCAATGGTGTTGAGCATTATCAAATTTAGAGGCTACAATTCATAGTTTTCATAGTTTTCAGTGGCTCGAAGACCTGTCGGGCAAAACATCCATAGCATTGCAGCACAAGCCAGTCAATTTTCCATTGGTTTCCAATCCACAAATATTTAGATCTCTTGATGACCGGACTTATAGTTTACCATCTGATCTCACTCAGTGACTCTAGGCTACGTAGGATGGGACGGAACCATGCAGAGAATGTAATTTTGTTTTATTTGTAACTCTTTGGTAGATACATTTATAATTTCTTTTGCATTACTACTAGTACTGTTACTGCTAATAAAACAGATCTCTGGGGGCCCCAAAAGTGTGTGGGCCCTTAGAATCATCCAAACTTTCCCCCTTAGCGGCGCCCCTGGTTTAGATAATAATAGTTTTAAAAGTACATGTTTACAGCAGGCATCCATATTTCATTAAGTGCAGTGCGCTAGTATTCCACTCTCTCTATCTGTGTCACTGTACCGCTCTTACCCTGCTGTAGAGCAGCGCTCCTTCGCCCTCTCCGCTGCTCATGACGGTGGCCAGCTGCTGGCGGCTGAGAGCCGTGTGCATGGCTGTGTCTCCATCCTCATCCTCTGCGTTGACGTCTGCCCCCTCCGTCACCAGCAGGGCCACTAGAGCCATGTGACCCTGAGTCACAGCCAGCTGCAGCGGCGTCTGATTGCGATTGTTGCGGATGTTGATGTCACAACGACCCTTAACGCCAAAGAGGGCAGAATTACGGAGGTTACAAATACACAGGCAGTCAAACGTTGGACACACTGAATTGAGCTTAAATGTTCTTTTATTTAAAGGCTTCTGTTTATATTTTGGTGGGCAAGAATAAATTGTGCCAATGGATGAATTTGACTTGTGTTATTGCAGTTTGACTGCATGTTTAAATTATCATCTACATTCTGAAATAGAGAAAAAACACAGTATTATAAATGGTTCAAAACTTCCTTTCTCTGCTTTAAATACCTACAAAACATTCCCAAAGTAATAAACACATATAAGCCCACCAGCCACCAGATGGCAGCACACTCAGTTCATCAAATACTGTATTACACACACTAAACACAAGCAGCACACAGGACAAAAAGTGAGGGTGTGACTGTTGTTTAAGTCATAAATAAAGCTATTATAAGACCCAGGTCATCACATAACAGTGACTTAACAAGCCTGAAAACACACCTGTGGCCTTAACACAAAAATAAGATCTTTAATAAAAAGATATGGCTTTATTTTACTGTCAAATGTCGAGAGCGCACTGTTGTATAGAGCAAAAGTACATTGCTATGATGCGCTCGCACGAATCTCTCCGCTCGCACGCAGATTTCTTTTGCTCTCGCACTAAACCGGACGCGCACTCTCAGATATGTGCTGCTCTCGCCCAGAGAGTGTGCGCGCACTTAAAACGTGTCCGTTGCCATCGCGAATCTCTCCTCGTGCTCAAAGAGTGCCCGTGTGCGCGCTCAAACTGTGTCCTTTGCACTCGCAAATCTCTCCGTGCTCTTGCGCTAGAAATTAATTATTTTCGCACCTGGATTAAACTTTGTCAAAAGTTATCAACAAATCAGACTTCCATGACTGACCGATTAAAATGCTACGTGAAATCTAATTAGCTGGAATTCAATTTAATAATACTGACCTATTACTTTTGCTATTGCTTTTGACCACTAGGTATCAGTATTTAGTCAGAGACCTACCCATAGCCGCGGGAACATATTTTATCTGGGGGTACTGCGGGGTGGGGCTTGATGTTGAAGGGCGGGGCCACGGTGGGGGATTTTAAACAAAATCCTAATATTAAACAGCCCAAACACTTATAGATGAACATACAAATTAATGAAGGCAGAGTTATATGAGAACGAATATATATTTGTGCTTTTGTGATTTTAGCTCAATAATATTTTTTTTTCTTTAATATTTTTATTATTTTAAGGGGATTTTACTAAATATTAAACGTTACTTGTATCAGGTTATTCATTGATATATTTTCAGACATGATTAAAGACTGCCATTTATTAAAAGTTGAAATTTAAATGTTGATTTGAAGTGTCAGTTATTATTATTGTAGTCAAATCTAGACAGAGAAAGCATTTTGTTAGGCTACTCATACTAGCTACAGCGTGATCAGTCACACTAAAGTCATCAGAATAAATATTGGCTCAGTGTGACCAGGGCAATATTTACCATGAACAGAGACGTTCTGTGGTCGAGATGTGCATCCTATTCGAAAAAATCTGCATCGCAATCAGCAACTGGTAAATTGAGATTCCAAATAGCTTTACTGGCATGATAAAAAAGGCTTTACAAAGCATTGTCAGCGCTTCGAACCAATGGTGTTGAGCATTATCAAATTTAGAGGCTACAATTCATAGTTTTCAGTCACGTGACTGGCTCGAAGACCTGTCGGGCAAAACATCCATAGCATTGCAGCACAAGCCAGTCAATTTTCCATTGGTTTCCAATCCACAAATATTTAGATCTCTTGATGACCGGACTTATAGTTTACCATCTGATCTCACTCAGTGACTCTAGGCTACGTAGGATGGGACGGAACCATGCAGAGAATGTAATTTTGTTTTATTTGTAACTCTTTGGTAGATACATTTATAATTTCTTTTGCATTACTACTAGTACTGTTACTGCTAATAAAACAGATCTCTGGGGGCCCCAAAAGTGTGTGGGCCCTTAGAATCATCCAAACTTTCCCCCTTAGCGGCGCCCCTGGTTTAGATAATAATAGTTTTAAAAGTACATGTTTACAGCAGGCATCCATATTTCATTAAGTGCAGTGCGCTAGTATTCCACTCTCTCTATCTGTGTCACTGTACCGCTCTTACCCTGCTGTAGAGCAGCGCTCCTTCGCCCTCTCCGCTGCTCATGACGGTGGCCAGCTGCTGGCGGCTGAGAGCCGTGTGCATGGCTGTGTCTCCATCCTCATCCTCTGCGTTGACGTCTGCCCCCTCCGTCACCAGCAGGGCCACTAGAGCCATGTGACCCTGAGTCACAGCCAGCTGCAGCGGCGTCTGATTGCGATTGTTGCGGATGTTGATGTCACAACGACCCTTAACGCCAAAGAGGGCAGAATTACGGAGGTTACAAATACACAGGCAGTCAAACGTTGGACACACTGAATTGAGCTTAAATGTTCTTTTATTTAAAGGCTTCTGTTTATATTTTGGTGGGCAAGAATAAATTGTGCCAATGGATGAATTTGACTTGTGTTATTGCAGTTTGACTGCATGTTTAAATTATCATCTACATTCTGAAATAGAGAAAAAACACAGTATTATAAATGGTTCAAAACTTCCTTTCTCTGCTTTAAATACCTACAAAACATTCCCAAAGTAATAAACACATATAAGCCCACCAGCCACCAGATGGCAGCACACTCAGTTCATCAAATACTGTATTACACACACTAAACACAAGCAGCACACAGGACAAAAAGTGAGGGTGTGACTGTTGTTTAAGTCATAAATAAAGCTATTATAAGACCCAGGTCATCACATAACAGTGACTTAACAAGCCTGAAAACACACCTGTGGCCTTAACACAAAAATAAGATCTTTAATAAAAAGATATGGCTTTATTTTACTGTCAAATGTCGAGAGCGCACTGTTGTATAGAGCAAAAGTACATTGCTATGATGCGCTCGCACGAATCTCTCCGCTCGCACGCAGATTTCTTTTGCTCTCGCACTAAACCGGACGCGCACTCTCAGATATGTGCTGCTCTCGCCCAGAGTGTGTGCGCGCACTTAAAACGTGTCCGTTGCCATCGCGAATCTCTCCTCGTGCTCAAAGAGTGCCCGTGTGCGCGCTCAAACGGTGTCCTTTGCACTCGCAAATCTCTCCGTGCTCTTGCGCTAGAAATTAATTATTTTCGCACCTGGATTAAACTTTGTCAAAAGTTATCAACAAATAGAGCAGCACATATCTGAGAGTGCGCGTCCGGTTTAGTGCGAGAGCAAAAGAAATCCGCGTGCGAGCGGAGAGATTCGTGCTCGCGCATCATAGCAATGTACTTTTGCTCTACAACAGTGCGCTCTCGACATTTGACAGTAAAATAACGCCATAAAAGGGTGTTTGTGTGTACACACAGAGTTAATTGAGCAGGAGCACTGGGGGTTAAAAAGCAGACATATTTTGTTATTCTCAGCTAAAATACACCAATGACTCTCAAGCTGTTTAAATTATCCTTTTTAGGTATGACTACTTTTCTATGCAGATGAACATCCTGATGTTCCTGACATAATTCATGTGGTAGAGTTTGCTCCATGTGACCAGTGCTTTATGAATAGTCACGTAACATCCCTTCCTATTTTCGATGGTGAGGACAAGAGTCCGGATATAACCTAACATAGAAAGGATTGGTAAGTGATTTATTAGATCACTTCATTCAATTTATTAGGAATGTTGAGATATTACTGTTATACTTCCAAAACTGTGCAGTTCTGTAATTTTCTGCACACTTTCCACACTTTGCCTTCCATTGTAGTTGTATTACTGTACATGTATTTTGCCCATGTTTTAAGCAGACAGTATTCCTGGAGTTAATTGTGAGCTAAATCTCTCATACCTCTTTGAGGAGAATCTCAGCTACATCCCGGTGGTTGTTCAAGGCGGCCAGATGCAGAGCAGAGAAACCATCTTCCTTCTTAACGTCAGCCAGCTGTCGCGCTCGAGCCAAGATCATCTCTGTCGCTCTGGAGGAACACAAACAAACACCAAGACGGTCAGCCCCGTATGTGAGAAATGGGAATCCAGAGCTATTAGGACTCGCTCAGAGGATTTTAGAAATGTAGACATCACATTTGACATTTATATCTGTTTTCCTACACTCTCAGAAAAAAGCTGTCACACGAGAGACATGAGACTAGAACAGCTAGGAAATCTGGCTAGAGACAACAGTCGGTTTAGCATCATTATACAAAAATACCTGACCCACTGAATGTCAAGACGGAGCAGTCACTTCAAGTGCTCCAGAGAGGTCCGAACGACTGAGTGTTCTGAAGCGTGTGCGGCGGTTTAAGAGCTGCTGATGTCAAACAGGATTCAGCAGCTCTGCATTACAGCAGATTACACCTCCACCCTGTGTGTGTGTGTGTGTGAGAGAGAGTGTGTGTGTGTGTGTGAGAGCGAGTGAGTGAGTGAGTGAGTGAGTGTACTCAAAGTACTGACCTTGATTCCTAACAAAACACACTTGCACACACTCAACCATGACAATAACACTCATATCAGTAGGGCTGGGAATTGAAACATTTTTAAAAATAAAACACACTGGAACGATTTCCGTGACATTTTGTCAATGCAGAAGTTAAATGATGCAGCCAGGAGTTCGCAGTTTCAACTAACACAAGAAAAGTCCATGAAAATAGGTCCCAATTAACCCGTTAACGTGAAGAATTTTCCATATTGGTTGTTCACAGGTGTTTTACACGTATTGTGAATTACGCATTGTGTTTTAGAGTTGAACGAAATGTCTAAAAGATGAATGACTCATACGAGCTGGTTCTTTTCACAAACGATGGGCCAAATTCATTGGTCTAAAACAGCTCACTCACTCACTGAATCACTCAAGGCACTTATTAAATGAACATCTGACTCACTCACCATTGGCTCAAAGTGATCTGAAATGTGTCAGTGTGTACTCGGTGAGACTTAAATCAGTTTAATAACCGATGTATAGTTAGGACTGTAGGCCATTATACTGAACATGTGGAGGTGAGCAGAGGCTGAACCTGACTGTGTTTGGGAAATAAAGGTGTGTGTGTTAGTGTGTAACCAGAATAACAAGTTTAACTGTTGACCATCCAACACACACGCTTATCTAAAGTCATCTAATCTAAACAAGGGAGCATCATAGACTTCTGATGTTTTTACATCAAACTAAAAGACTACAGACAATTCCTAACTTAGTTTAATGCAGCCAGACTTTTGGCTATTGGTCTAAAGTCTGGTCCACACCGCATCTAAGAACCGCCCACAATGACAGAAGGGCGTCAATCAAATCATGGTGCGACAGTCTCTGTGAACAGTTGCATAGAAAACACTAAAATAACAGAAAGGTGTGTAGACTTGTCCAAATGTAATGAGAACAGATTTTTCAGATATAACCAACAAACTTAACTAAATACTAAGTGCCTCAAACAAAAGCAGACCCTGACACCCAGATAGTGTATAAAGCTGTCAGTCAGATTAGAACTTGGTGATGATTTGAGCAACTTTTGCCATTTGAGGCTGAGACTAACCCCAACCTAACCCCTGAAAGATAACTTCATAACAGTTAAAACATTGAGAAATCATTGTTTCCTTTACAGGCTGTGCCCAAAGCTGGGTTTTGCCAGTGTTAGCTCACTTCTAGGGACAATTTTGTCTCGTAAGTGTATCACAGTAAACCCACACATCTCACACGGCTCCACAGAAGAGCAGGTTCTTGGTATTTTCTCCTGGTCTCAGGTGTGAGCCAGAACTAATTGTGTTATTTTCCTCTGTTAGTTCTGTATCTCTTCACTTTCTTCTTTTAGCATCATACTGTTGCAATTCAGCTGCTCTCTTGAACAAAACTTTCATTGAGTGAGTGAGTGAGTGAGTGTGTGTGTGTGTGTGAGAGAGAGTGAGAGATGTGAGTGTGTGTGAGAGCGAGTGAGTGAGTGAGTGAGTGTGTATGAGAGAGAGAGAGAGAGTATGTTTGTTTGCCGCAGAAGTTGCCTCTCTTTCCAAATGAATCCAGTTTATTGTCATTCCAGCTGTGCACAAGTGTGTAGAGTGAACTGTGGTTTCACTGGGTCTGCAGTGCAGGACAACAACACTGAGAACTGTAGAGCTGATATAACAACACTGCAAACAATAAAGCACTACAAACACTGAAAAAATGAACACAATCCAACAGATGCCATGGATTCGGGTCATGTATTCAGTGTACACTGCAACTATTCAACAGTGTCTGAAGTCAACATGGCAGCAGTCCATAGCAATAACTATAAAGGAGATGCTCTTTTTGTACAAGTACTAGCTATTTGAGCTAAATAAGCACAGATAAAGAGAAATATGATTATTATAAAGCTGTGGCACAGGTGACTGGCAGTAGTGCAACGTGTTGTATTTTTATTATTATTATTAGAGCGCAAAAGAATGCCATTCATTGCCATAATGTCACTGATTATCAACTCCATCCTTAAGAACAAGTCAATTCTTCATAAAAATTAGAAAAGATTTCTTAAATATAGTTAATTTCCTTAACGAAATCTATGATGAAAAATGTTCGTCAACAAAGTTTTTTCCCCTGACGAAAACAAGGCGATGACGAGATAATAAGGTCATTAAACGATAACTGAGACTAAATGAAGATGCAATATTGTTGATGAAAAGAGACTAAAATGTAGTTAAAAGAACAAAAATTTTACCAAAACTTTTTTATTTTTGTTGAAAAAAGTGGAGCCAAAACATTTCAGACTGCTTGCTGTACAAGACTCGAGCATTCATGTTTGCGGTTGCCAGATATCAAGACCTCAAATCCCCCAATCAGAGCTTTTCTGTTAAACGGATACGTACTCTGCCCGGCTTTTTGCTTTATGCAATCTGGCAACCATTCACACGCGCTCTCTCTGAAAACACCGACATGCAGTACTGTACAAGTAAGCTGGAGTTCAGCGATCTCCGTTTGAGGTGTTCTGCTTCAATGAAAGTGTCATTCAGCAGTCTGTGTTCTGTCATGGATCCCGACTGTATTGTTTGCTGATTGTAACGTTACTTACGCAACCTCTGTGCAGCAATAAGTATTTGTTTGTCTTTGTTTTAAAAGAGAAACATGAATGCAATTTGGAATTATTGGAATTACTATTAGGAATTTCTCTGTTAAAGGGGTCATATGATGCGATTTCAATTGTTCCTTTCTCTTTGGAGTGTTACAAGCTCTTGGTGCATAAAGAAGATCTGTAAAGTTGCAAAGACTAAAGTCTCAAAACCAAAGAGATATTCTTTATAAACGTTAAGAGTCAACCACGCCTACCTAAAACGGCTCGTTCTAACACGCCCCCACATACCTACGTCACTATGTGGGAAGATTTGCATAACGCCGCCCAAATGTTCACGCAAAGAAAGAAGGCGTAACTTTTATTCTCGCTGTAGTATTGTTGCCGCCGCCATGTCGTGAAGGCGCTGTGTGCTTCGTTGTGAAAGCGAAAATACTTCGTTTGGTCTTCCAAAAGAGGACGATATCCGCTTCGGTCGCTGAGGGAATACATCAACTTTGTGCTGTGGATCGCCGGATCGGCTTTCACCGTGGACGAAGCGTAGTCCAGCCCGGGGTCGTCACATGTGGTGGCCGCAAGCCCTCCAGACGCTCCTTCGTCGAATCCGCCGTATGTCTCCACTGGATGCAACAAATGCCTCGTTTATAATGGGTTTTCATGTTTTTGTCTCGTCGCTCCGGCCGGACACGGCATCACAATATGGTGAGGGGCGTAACATTTCCGTCACACGCTTGAGGTATTCGGCCAATCACAACGCACTGGATAGCTGGCCAATCAGAGCACACCTCGCTTTCAGATGAGCTTTGTAAAAATCGACGCGTTTCAGAAAGGCGGGGCACAGAGGAGCAACAATAATGTACAGTATGTGGAAAATAATGTGTTTTTTTTTAAACCTTAAACCGCATAAACATTTCATTACACCAAATACACAACATAATGTTCTTTTTAGCAGCATCATATGACCCCTTTAAATCTGTACACTAACGTTAGATGAGGTAAAATGAACCATGCACACGAGTCGATATTCTATTGATTTGTGCTTATTGGTGTAAGAGCAACATCTGATGAAATGTAAAAATACATTTCCCAAATGACAACAGTCATTGCAATTAAAATTGAGCAAAATAATCATTTTTTATCATTTTAACCATTATACAGTGAGATGAAAATATGATGAAAATGTGTAAGTTTCCACTGACTAAAATTCTCAGACATTTAGTCTGCTAAAACTTGACTAAAACTAAAACAGGACAAGTTGACTAAATATGATAAAAACTAAAAGTTACATTTGACACAGGACTAAGACTAAGACTGAATTAAAAATAGCTAACAAAATTAACACTACTTCAGTAAAGACCAGCTCTGACATCCCAACATTACGAGCTGGGATTTGAAGCACTGCGGATGATGAAACTACAGTACACCACAAATCTACTGAATATAAACGCTGTAATACAATGATACAAATGAAGAGTTTGGTTTTAAAACGCTATAAATCCGTTTATATGACTAACTTGAGTAAAAATGTGTTTTCTTTACCAAGAAAGTGGCAAGATGAAAACCACTATTTTCTGTTTCAAACTTTCACATAGTATCTTTAGGTTATAATAACATTAAAAATTCAAATCCAGATTTAGATTTTCAAAGATTTATTATAAAATTGTATTACTTTTTCCCCAAAATGCAATAAATCCATTGAATCAATATAAAAGTTATTTTTCATATTGAAACTGTTGAAAATACAAAACATAGTAAGTTGATCCACATATGACAGCCTCTGAACTTGGTCAATACTAATCTTATATACAGGCACTGGACTAAAAATACATTCAATCTCTTCAGGATTATAGCCGATCTTTACCTGGACCTCAGCTATCCGAATGGCACTTGTCCCTTGAATAGATTTAGTTTGTTTGACTCTGGTCAGCATCTCAGAAAATGAATATTTCTTATTGTCAAAATTGAAATGGTGGACTGATAAGAGGAATACAGAAAACGTTATGCCAAGATCAAATAAGAGCTGTTCAAGTGCAGGCCATATGGGACTAGAGAGTAAATACGACAGCAGTGTCTCTCTGTCGCTCTGGGTCATGCTAATATTCCCGCGGCTGCCGCAGTCAACACTCACACATGCCACATACGACAACTGTCAGAACCAGACGTGTTTATAGAGTGTCGGGATCCTGAGAGGACAAGATCCATCCATCACTGCCACAAGGCTTTAATCAACGAGTAGCACACAACTCAGATTGTACTCAATTAACAACTGCATTTGTATCACCACAAAGGAATTCAAGACTTTCATCATCAAAGGCTGTGCATCATTTGGTAGTATTCGACTGATGTCAGCATGGGCATCCTCAGAAACTGCACAAGAGCCACGAACACGCTCCATACTGCACTGCATACAGGTTCACTGGCTGGTGCTGGTCACAATCGGTTTGTGCCGTGATTTACTGGCTTGAATTCTGGAAAACTAACTATTCAATAATGCATAATGTCGGGCCTGTTTAGTTCATGGTAAGAGTTCAACTGATGTTCAGCCCTTATGGAGTTTGATCGAGGGCTGCATGATCTGTTAAACAAAGAAAATCTGACTGCACATTTCAATCCTGCTCTAAGATGGCATGTACTATACGTTTCAAGTTCATCCAGCTGGGATTGTGGAGTATCAAATGCAAAGCTCGGTTAGTGAGGTCAAATAATGAGTTGAGCCCAGATGTTAGCCTTGAGGTCATCTATATGTTAACACTAGGGTTGGGGAAAGTTACTTTTAAAAGTAATGCATTACAATATTGCGTTACTTCATAAAAAAGTAACTTTTTATGACTTTTGGTAATGCATTACGTTACTGTTGTGTTACTTTTTGTCACCTGGTCTGGGCTTGCTTATTTGTTTTTTTAACTCTTTCCCCGCCATTGACGAGTTATCTCGTCTTTTAGAAGAAAACGCTTCCCCGCCAAAGACGAGTTTTTACAGCTTTCCGTGTTTTCACTGTTATACACTCGGGGGCGCTATTACGCATCTCCTGAACGAGTACAAAACCTCCCGAACAAAAACACACGTGAAAAGGACGGAGAAACGAGCGATCGCTTATGTAAACAGATGCATATGAAAAATAATGCGATCATCAGCAAATAAATGAAAACTGCATAATGTTTAGTAAAATGTTGATGCAGGAAGTGGAATATGTCTGTGCAAGCTTTGGAGGTGTTGATGGAAGCGATTTACTGGATTTATGCTTTGATAATCGTACTGAATATTATCCAGATGTAGTTTTTGATAAAAATGTGATTTTCTGCATTTTTTATGAAACCTACCTATATTCAAGTGTTGATAAAAAAAGAAAGCTTTAAGCTAGAATAAAACAGTTTTTTTGTTTAAACGTAGAGGCTCTGATCTTTATTTTGGTGTATTATATATTCAAATATTCATACAGCAAAATATACTGGAGGCCATCAAATTTTAGTGAAAATCATCAAAATCGCTGGCGGTGGTTGGCAACTTTTTTCAAAAATGCTGGCGGGGAAAGAGTTAATAACATAAACCCCAAAAGTGATATTTTTGGTAACTGTAAAGGCCCTTTCACACCAGAGGTGAGCATGGGGACAGGAGAGGCGTCAGTCAATATATAGGAAAACAAAGTTACTTGCTTTACTTACTTGAAAAAGTAACTCGGATATTTTGTTGTAAATTTAAAAGTAATGCATTACTGTACTAGTTACTTTTAAAGAGTAATCTGATTACGTAACTTGAACACTGCGTAACACAGGAACATCCAGCCACTGTGGAGCTACTTCAGGAGGTTTACAGACGGTTAAAGATGTAACTTCTAGGAAAGGCTTTGAGATATCCTCGATTTTAAGTGATTCAGCTCATTTCTTTGTTGAATCTCTATCATTTTTGTTTCATCTTTATTTCAATGACATTTTGCAGTTTTTTCTTCAGTAGACTTTCTGATGTGCATGCTTTAGCTCCTGATGAAGTCCCCAGTCGACTGGTGAGTAACTCGTAGGGTCAGCGTGTAAATTCACAATGGCTTTGCTGATGACAAAACATTCAGCAACATCATGACAGTCACAATGATTTTCACTCGCTTGACAAGACATGAAATATTGATTTAAGCTGAAATTCTTTCATTATGTGAGAAGAAAGTGTGTTTGAGAGACTATTTGAACATTCAGTCAAATCTACAGTTTAGTGTTATTATGCAAAGGAACAGCATGGCTCGGCTGAGCAATCACAGTTCCAGAGAGCTGTGTAATAAACAGCTGAACACTCACAGTTTGTTGCCCTTCAGAGCGGCGTGCTGCAGCAAGTTGAAGCCGCGGTTGTTCTGCTGCGTGAAATCGATGTTGGGCACCACAGTCAGAATCTCAATGATGCTCCTGAAGTCTTTAGCAATGGCGTCATGTAAGGGTGTATCTCCATACGAATCCTGACAACACAAGGAAAGAGAAACAAACATGATGTTAGTGAACACTGGTAAATCTAGTTTTTGCAAATTCTAATTTTACAGAAATGGTAAAGGGATGAAAACTCTCTCATCATTTGCTCATCATGCTGTCCTAAAATGTCAACTCTTTCTTTTCTTGGCTGTGTGCGCTTTACATGGACTCACAGAGATGGAAACGTTTGTTCTTTTGTCTCCTATAACTTTTGAACCCGTTCTGAATGTGTTTCCGTGTAAGCTGGACGCTTGCTGGCTCTGCACTTTTCAAATATTTATAATTAAAAAAAATGAGAATTTTATTTTAGCAGAATTTGTTTGCAAAAACAATATCTAAGCAGCGCCGAAGCAGTAGCCTTTCAAGTCCAAAGGTTTTTCGGATCAGGAGAAACATAATGCTGCCCTTAAGAACTGTGCATTTACTGAAAACATATTTAGATGAGTTATGAGTTTAGCATGTACAGGATGATATTGCTTTATTTAATATACTATTAATGGAAATAAAGAAAAACATTATTTTGCAGAATATGTAAAATATAGCTGATATCATTTTTAATGAATTTGTTTTTAGCAAAGGGTGTCATTAATGTATAATCTAAAATTAAATATTAAATATAAATGTAAATTTAGTCATTTGAAAATTTAGCTGAAACAGAACCGACTATGAATTCAGATGGAAATAGTCTGCCTATAGGTTATAATAAATACTGAAGATGTCTGAAGTAACTCTTCAAGTAATAAAAGCACCAGCAGCAACACGCCACTAGGGCCATTTGCACTGCCATTCTTCACATTAACATAAAAACAATAGGGTTAGCGCACAAATCTAATTGAACTACTGAGTTCACAAGTCCCCCATTAACAAACATACATTAAAAAAATATCCAACGTAAAATAAAATCACTGCATTATTCAATCAAAAACCAACTACATCATTTAAACTCCAAACAGATCACTGACCCAGTTCTGTAAGCACTCAAATCTCAAAGGCGTGTTTTCTGTCTAACCTGCAGGTTGATGTCTGCCGAGTGCTCCGTCAACACTCTCACCACATCCGTGAAGCCTTTATTGACAGCGATGTGCAGCGCCGTACACATGGAGTTATTCAGCAGGTTCACACTGGCTCCATTACTGAGCAGCAAGCGTGCAATTTCTGCCTGATTCCTGCACACACAGCACATATCAGAGACAGCGGAAAAGACATTACAGTGAACATCATTTAGAGGAGCACACTGCATGAGTAAAATACAAATAAATCAAAACCAAGTGTACAATTACTGCCTACAGTGGGTTTAGAAAAGAATCAGCCCCTTATTTAAAATAATCACATTAGCCGCTTTTCCACTGTGGGGCCAGTGCGAGCCAGTGCTTCACTAAAACCCGCCCTTTACACGCCTCTCAGGAACAACGTCACGCAACCCCATCATTTCACCAACAAAGAGAAGTTATCAGAAAACTAACAAGAAGTCAGTCACTGGAACTAGCGCGATCACAAACCGAACATGATAAAAGCGGCCGTTTGTTTGCATGCTGTTAAAGATTTACAAAAGCATCGATGTTTTACAATAATAAGTGATACATTGATCATAATGAATTAATTTATCAGGATTAAAAATTAGTCACAGAGAAATAAAGCGGTATGAACATAGCCTACCTGCTTATTCAGTCGAGTCTGTTTCTGTTGATTTGTAGTCACAGTATATAGCCTACATCACATTTAGAAAGAATGATCATTTCTATATTTTTATAAAAAGCTCCCGAACAAAAAACATTATTCTATTCTTATGACATAAGCTACGTGGAGCTAAACTCTCGAGAGGAGACTTGTGACAGATAAAATATGTTACTAAATAAATACACGATTGTGATAGAGAATAAGAAGCTTACATCTGATTTCTTCAAGCGGTCGTATTTACCATGTTTACTATGGTAATGTTAATGGCTAGCGTGCATAGTCTTTTGCATCACTTATAAATAGGCTATGTCTGCCTTGTATGGTGATCATAATCCACATCAGATCAAGTTATTTCAAACACTCGCTGCTGTCTGAAAGTGAGTTTTGAACTAAAAGTATTTTAAAAGTCTTTAATGCTAGTGTTATAGCTGTTAACTTTCTGAAATGATCCGCGGCGCTGACGCTCTCCAGACGCGGAGAAACTCCACCTTTGTTCATAATCACTCCTCTAGCCCCAGCTGGCCCACTTTGGCCCAAGGTTTTCGTCGGGCCAAAAAACCCGGGCCCTTGGCCCCGAGGAAGCACCGACGAGGCATGATCAAGCCCCGGAAGTGACAGTGGAAACGTCAGTGCTACTTATAACATCCAAGTGAAAGATAAAACACCAACATGTCAGAAACAAATAAAAACAGAATCACTGAGTTGGAAAAAGGATGACCCTCCCCCTAAAAATGGCTTGTAAACTCAATCCGGTGTAGCAAATCACCTTCTCAATGGCACACACAGCCATTTTTCTTTCACCTGTGATCAGCTGTGCTCATTTTGATCAGCTCAGCATGAAAAGAGCTTCCCTGCAGCATTTCAGTCCTTGGTAGTGCAACTGAAGCAAACGATCAACTATGGGCTGCAAGGCACCTTCAAAAGATGAGACAAAAACATTTCAAGGGCTTTATCAATGCACTAGCACAGTGAAGTCTATTATGAAGAAGTGGAAGGTATTTGGTAAAACACAGACCCTCCCTGGATCAGGACGTCACTCCAAACTGAATGAGAGAGTCAGGAGGAAACTGATCAGAGAGGAGACCAAGAGCTACAGCAACTCTGAAGCAGCTGCAGGAGTTTATGACAAAGAGTGGTCATTGTGTGCATGCGACAACAATATCACTAATCCTCCACCAATGTGGCTTGTGTGGGAGGGATGCAAGAAAAAAGCCACTCCTCAAGAAAGGCCACACGCAGTCAGACTGAGCTTTGCCAAAACACACCTTGAAGAATCTGAGGCAGATGAGACTAAAACTGAATTATTTGGTGTCAACACTAAACGCTATGTCTGGTGGAAATCCACTCCAGCTCAGCATCCAGATAACAGCAGTCCTGCAGTAAAGCATGGAGCTGGTGATGTCCTGTTATAGCGTGTTTCTCTGCAGCAGCGACTGGAGCACTCGTCAGGATAGAAGGAACAATGGATGGAGCAAAATACAGTCAGATTCTTGAGGAAAATCTGCTGCCCTCTGCCAGAAAGTTATCAATGGGAGGAAGGTTTACCTCCCAACATGACAATGACCCAAAGCACACAGCAGAACTGCAATGAACTGAAGACTGCAGTCCACAAACACTCACCATCAGATTGAACTGAACTTGAGCAGTTCTGCAAAGAAGAGTGGGCAAATATTGCAAAGTCTAGATGTGCAAAGTTAGTAGAGATAACTCCCAACAGACTAAAGGCTGTAATTAAAGCAAAAGATGGTTTAACAAAATACTGACACAAGAGGGTGATCCTTTTTCCAACTCTGTGATTCTGTTTTTTATTTTTGTATTTTTTTCTGACATGTTGGTGTTTTATCTTTCACTTGGATGTTATAAGTTGCACTGAGTAAATACAGCTGGATGAAACAAAAACTGTGTCCGTCTTCATTTTAGGCTGCAAAGCAACACAATGCGATTATTTTAAATGGGGTGGTTCTTTTCTAAACCCACTGTACAATACTGAATTTACTACTGTAAAAAGAATGACATGCTATAGCCATCACAATAGTGAACAGAAAAACTGGACTTGACAACATTAGTGTATCGTATAGTGCTGTGGCTCATACTCTTAAAACTAAACAAAAATGAGCAGCGAGTCAGCGACCAATAATTGTTCAAAACTCAGTGTGGTTTAATTGATCCTCATCGTTCATATTTTCTTTCGGCTTGTGTAGTTTTGTTCAAGGTTTTTGAGGATTAAACTTCACACTTTTATAATTCACACTTCAGAGCATCAAATCAGTTAAATGATCCAAATAGAACTAGCCAAACATTCATCTAACTCGTGTGGGGAGCTAGTAATTCAGCTACATCAGTTAGATCTGCCAAAATCACATCAATGCCCCAAATCATCTCTGCTTGGAAATAATGTGGAGTGCAGCTGCTCCAGCCAGATGATCTGGGTCACTCTGTCAACCTCTAGAGCCCAGAGACATCAATCCACCGGCAATACAGATGCCTTTACGTGTACTTTAGAAGGATTAAAATGTCACGATTTAGTCTGACTTACATTCAACCAGTCGTGTTTGTGCAGAGGTACACTAACAGAGCTAGATAATGCCACTGTGGCTTGGTTTTGGCTCTAGATGTATAAACATGAATCAGACTACAGTTAGCCCTGGCACGGTGTGTTTTCTGAGAAACAGAGGTGACGCTTGTATTTAATCCTTTAAGTAATCAGTTACAGTGAAGACTGCAGCTCAACTACGCAAAAATCAACTGTAGCGCATTTAATACTGCACATGTAAACATACTCAGTGTCTCTGGAGTGTGCCTTCATCTTAATTAGTTAAATACAGTTAACTGAGGACGAGCACAGCACATTTCTGTTTGTACAGAATGTGCAAAAACGCAGGTTGTCCTGCATCTAATACTGGGTAACGTACACATGGCCTGTTCTCATAAGTGTAAGCGTAAGCTCTAAGCACTGGCTCTCACCCGAACGCTGTGTAGTGTAGCGCAGCGTCTCCGTCCTCATCTTTAGCTTCAATGCTGCTGTTGGCCTGAAGCAGAACCTTCACCACCTCCACATGTCCCTGATGGGCAGCCACCTGCAGAGCCGTCTTCCCCTGGTTCTTAACATCCACCTGAACACAGTCACACACAGCCTTCGCTCAAACACACTTCTGCAAAGACTTCTCCCCATCCACCTACAGGTGCATCTCAATAAATTAGAATGTCGTGATCTTGGATGAACTGAGGGTGAGCACATTTTAATAAAGCAAACTTTAATTTTTGGGTGAACGATTCCTTAACCTCTACCACACTATCTACTTGCTCAACTCTGTCAGAAATAGATTGCACCCGAGATGACCGTTCTTTATTAACTTTATCAACGCTTTCAGTCCAGCTGTCTGTAGTCTCTAATCCAGTATCTTACAGAAAGGACACTTTTTCCTTGAAAACACAGATAAGCAGCTGCTCAGCGTCAGCCCGTCTCTAGTGGGCTGTGTGTTTATAAAGGGAAAGGCTAAAACCCTTCGGACAGAGAGAGCCAGAAATAACTTGAAACGTCTGGAGATTCCCTCCCTTAGGACAACCCATGCAAACAAAATCCCATTTCTTTCCACTAAATCAGACTGAGGCACTAACCTTGTCAGGGTATTTCTGCACCAGTTCACGCACTTTAACGGCGTTCCCGTGAGCCGCCTCGATAACCAGCCGGCCCGGATGATCCTGCTCCGTGGACTGAGAGAGCAGCTTCTCCAGGACTGAAATGACCGTACCTGAACGACAGAGAGAAAGAGACATCTCCATTCTGTGTTCAGAGAAGGGTTTAGTGTTACAGTTCTACAGCTCAAAACCCTCTAAACCAGTCAGAATGAGTCAAAATGTCACCATGCATCAAACATCACAAACTATCCAGCACTGGCACAGCATGTAAAGGAGAGAAAAAGAGAGAGAGATACACTAAAAACACACGGTGCTGAAACGAGAAAAACAAGCGTTGG